AAAAAACCTACGTAGACTTGTCTAAGAATACAAATTAGACTTATTTAGCGGTTAAATGCTGAGGTTTCTTACAATTTTTTCGTGAAAAGCGTATATGGAAATTTTGAAATATATGCTTCGTTTAAAAATGCATACCTCCAGTTGGAAACGATTCGTTGCAAATCCAAATCACTATAAAAATTTACATCTTGAGCTAATAGCTTTAAATAAATCCATTCATATCAACCTCATATTATATTTATTTCATATTTAATATGATATCCCCCATCTACAACTCATACTTGGCGAATTAAATATCATAGAAAATCAATTTCATTGGAAATTAAATATTGAAATGTGATTATGATTACTCACTTCGTTTAACCATAATAAATCTCTGGAATTATTCCGCAAATCACGTATCAAATAATTGCCATTAACTACGATCTAATTTGACACTTTGAGAGTGATGGCAGCATTATTATTATAAGTTTCTTAATAACTGACATGCACACACACACACACACACTTCTCGGCAATTACCGACCTATATTTACCCAGAATACAATAACAACAAAACAAATACAAATACCATTAACTAAACTATAAATAACTAAATTATGGTTTAAGAAAATTATGTTGTTACTGGGTTTTTTTTCTTCCCTTTTTGTTAATTACATTTTAAGACATTCATGTGATTTCACGCACACATTAAAGATGTATGTGTGTGGGTGAGATATGGTAAAGTGTAGTTGCCTATGTGCGTGAGTTCATGTTTACTTTATGCAAATTTAAATTGAAATTTAATGTCATCCATTTATTCTGTGGTTATTCGGAAATTTATATTACATCCTCTGGCAAATATCATGGGTGAAAATGTCTTTACACGAAATTTGGCTCTGCCCTCTGTTTTGGCCTACATTGTTTGTGACAGAAATACGCTTATATCATTTGCACGAAAACATCGTAAGAAACCCCAGCATTTACCCGCAAATAAATAAGTCTAATTTGTATTCTTAGCCAAGTCTATGTAGACGTTTTTGACAGTGGAATGAATTGTTTGTTATTTTTCTAAATAAATTATTTTTTGTGTGGGTATTGGTGCTTATGACTACTGACAACATTCATACGTCTCAGGGTCATCATAAGGGGAGTGGGTTCTCATCTCTCAGCGTATGATTGATGTCACGTATCATACGCATCCTCTCACCATCATTTATTTAAAACAGATAACAATAGTATATATTCGTGGTCCTGAGAGCTACCTACCATCAATATCAGTATGTGAAATTTTTTTAATAAAATTTATTTAAAAAAATTACAAATCAATATAAACCATATATTCTGGCATAACAAATTTGGTTATCAATTTATTTCGAACGCTTCAGTGGTTATAGTTTATAATTCAAAAAATCCGTCATTATTTCTTGATTTCTCTTTTATATTTTGAATCTTATGTAGATATATGCATTCAGCGTTCGAAGTATATGATATCTTAAGTGAGACCAACATATCTGCAAGTTGTCTTCGAATCAAAAACTGTATATTTTTTTGTCAAATAATACAAAAAAAGCGTTTTTATTTGCATAAAATTTATCATATCTAAACCAGTGAGCGGAGCAGTATAGTCGGATGGGGCCGACCATATGATATCCTAGACAACTTCGACGAAAATCTAACTTTCTATGGTTCTATATTCAGAGCTTGGGCAATAGTCCGCGATATTTGCATCATCTAGACCGACTAGATGTCAACAAATACTCCTAATATTCAGTAGACGAGGGGTGTACTTGTCCAGATTATCTTTACCGTGGGTTATGTTGTGATGTTGAGCTTTCAATTGTGGCCTGTAGATCGACTTGAAAACAAAAAACACAAAAATTAAGTTTTCGTCCACTTCTTTCCAATATTATTATCTGATCATCACCGAAAATTATAGGCATTGTCCTTGACCATAACTAGAACCTCATGGAACATTTCAAAGCGATCAGCGCTATATTTCCGCCCTCTAGTGGGGTAATGGGTTACTAAATAATATCTGAATATGTAAGCACCCGTAAATTTTTAAGTGTAACTCCCAAATACTAAACTAAATATTGACCGATCTTTATCAAAATAGGCATGCTTATTCCTTGGCTCAATCCCCTACTCCATGTAAAAATTCGAGATGTTTGGGCCATAATTGCGGCCTCTGGAACGACCAGAAAAACCGACATAAATTATGTATTTGGTCCATTTCATCCCCTAAATATAAACCGAAAACAATAGGGATCTTCATTGAGCCGAACCCATTCTACATGCAAAATTTCGTGAAGATTGGTCCATAACTGTGGCCTGTATCGTGTTTACAAATTATAATGGACAGACGGACGGACGGACACACATGTCTAGATCGACTCAGCTAGTCGAGATATGACGATCGGTATACTTAAATGTGGGTCTAGAACCAATATTTCGCGGCGTTACAAACTCTTGGGGCTGCACAAAGCTATAATACCCTGACAACATAGTTGTGTAGGGTATAAAAACGATGTATATTGGTGCGTATGACTTCTGACAGCACTCATTCGCCTGGATGCCTTCCCAGAGGTTGTCCGAAGGCAATTCTATATCGTGGCACATGTTACCCTAATAGGAGTTTTTAATGAACAATTGGTTGTAAATGATTTACGTCACAAATTCAATTTAAAATCAAAATGAAGGAGCGCAGGTAATCTGATGCAATTCTGCTATAGAAAAATATGTAGCTAGTCCTCAGATTGTCTTAAAAATATTTTGGAGAATTTCTCAGAACCTAAGGCGTGGATTTTTCTTGGAATCTTAGGCGGTGATTTTTTGACATTTTTCTTCGATTCTTATTAAATATATTTTGAAGATTTTCTTATAAATTTAGGTGTATAATATTTTTGGCGCAGCTTCTTTACTGTTCCGCTATTCTAATGGCGGCAAAATAAACCTTGATAAAGTTTAGCGTATGAATAACATCAACATGTTGTTTAGAGTTGAAGGTGGCGTATGATTGCTATAAATCAACATACGCCATAGTTGAAGTATGTTGATTTTTAGCAATCATACGTCACCTTCAGCTCTAAATAGATTTTTAGATTAATTTTTAAATCACCTGATAAGTTTTTGAGATTTTATTGAGTATTAGTGTGTTGAAGATTTTTCTTTGAACATTGATGTGGATTTTTTGGACATTTTCCTTAGAATTTTATGTATCGGGTTTTTAATTAATATTTTTTAGAGAATTTTGTCAAACCTTAAGGTGTAATATTTTCAAAGCAGTTTCTGTACTGTTCCACAGTTATAATAGGGGACAAACTAAACATAGGTGAACGATAGCGTATGAATAATGTCACCATGTATACGTTTTCAGGCATAGGTTTACAATTATATATTTTTTCGCGATTTTCTTAGAACCTTAGGCGTGAACATTTTTTATAAAGTAATTTTTTTTAATTAATATTTTTTGGAGAATTTCGTAAAACCTTAAGGTCTAATATTTTTACAGCAGTTTATCTACTGTTCCACAGTTCTAATATGGGACAAACTAACCTTGGTGAACGATAGCGTATGAATAACGTCACCATGTATACGCCTTATGGCATATGTTTAAAATTAAATAATTTTTAGCGATTTTCTTAGAACCTTAGGCGTGAAATTTTTTATAAATATTTCGAGAAACTAACATGTGGATTTTAAATGACAAATTTTTGGAGATTTTCGAGAATCTTAGGCGGATACTTTATTGATATTTTTTGGAGACATTTTCATAACTTTAGATGTGGATTTTTATTGATTTTTTTGAAGAGCACCTGAGGCGTAGATTGTTATTGATTTTGTTTTTCTTAGAACCACAGATGGACCGTCAGAAACAGTGACTTAATGGATGAATACATTTCCGACGTATAATACATACGTCAGAAACCCACCCAACTATTAGATTTTTAACAAAATAGCTATTTCTTTAAAACATTATGAAAATCCAAAAATCAAAATGTTCTTCTCAAAAAAATTCTACTGCTCCTCATTTCAAATAGGGGAAAAACATACCTTGGTAAACGTTAGCGTATGAATAACGTCAGCATGTATACGCTTAATGACACCCAATTATGATGATATGCCATTACGTATGATGATTTGTAGTAATCATACGCAATATTGCGTCCGGAATTTGAAGTTATTTACTTATTATCCCACTGTACTACCCTTGGCATATGTTTTCGTGACATATTTTTGGCACAGGGTTTCACCAAAAGCAATTTAAAATAATTAAAATATATACCAAATCCAAATGTTCTATTCGGAGGGCACATTTAAAATCCTGCCTACGACAACTGGCTTGGAAACAATTCAGCAGCAACGACGATGATGATGATAATAATACTCATAAATGGTGTTGGCATGGTTATATGTGTGAGCGTGTATGTGTGGGTGGGTGCAATTCAGATTTTCCAGTTGCCTGCATCTTTTCTAAGGATAACAAATTTTTGATTATATTTTTACATTTAGAAAACTGTTCTAATTTGTTTCTACGTTTGTTTTCTTATTTTGCAGATTTTTGTATGTGCTTTTTTTGTAAATCGGCTCTGACAACCACAAAAAATAGTTATAAACTGCGATTATAGAAAGCATCGTCCTCCAGTAAAAGGCTGGAAAATAGAAGTGACATAGACAGTGCTCAAGTCCACATTATTTGGAAAACAAAATACCAACCGCAGCCATCCAACCAACTACCAATTCCCATAGCCATTGAAAACATAACCACAGGCAACTAAGAGAGCACTCCCGCATTACGGTGCGACAAGCAGGAGGAGGACGAAGAAAAAAACTTTCACCCCACAAGAAGAACTAAAAGGAAAACTTGCTAAGCCACAATTTACTAAGCCATTACCAAACAGCAAGTGAACAACCAGGCCAGGCCAACCAGCATCATTGTCGTTGTAGTTTTTGGTAACAGTTCTTTCATTTTTTTTGTCTATCTCTGGCCCAAAGAAGATTTAACTTAGCTGCCGAAAATGAATCTACTAATGGTAGCTATGCTTTTGTTAGCCATGTTGGCATTTCAGCCGACATTGATTTATGGCACAAAGAACATGGCATCAGCTGGCCGGAGCAACAGCAATCCACCCGCCAGCCTCAATGCGGAACGTAAACCGAGATCATCGTCTTTGTCGTCTTCCAAACACAGCAAAAGGCATTCATCCGAGACATTCCAGCCATTGTATTCGCCCGCATTGTCGGCATCATCTAAATTGGTTTTGTCCCTAGAATCGGGTGATGTTTTGGTGCGTGCAGCACGTGGTGCTGCTTCTGCTGCCTCAGATAAACAAAATCCAACGCCTGTTATTGCTACGGGCAGCAGTAACAATGGTGGTGGCAACAAACGTCAAAAGAGCGGTGGGAATAGTAAAAAATCGAATAGCTCGCCAAACTTCATCGGAATCATTATCGTCGAATGGTGCAGGACGGGGTAAACATTTGGATAAGAAATTTTCGGCCGCATCGGGAGGATTAGCTGCTGCTGCTGTTGGTGGTCAACAACAAACGGGCGGTAGAGGAAAACAACGCCAAATGTTGAAATCACAAAATCATCAGGGAAAACGTTCCGGAAACAAAGCAATTCGAGATGATGCCGCCCCAGGTGAAAGTGAAAAGACACGTAAGTAGTAGACAGTAACACATACACACATACTTTTACACATACATAAAACAGTATTTAACAAAAAACATTATTATTTAAGAAAAAAAGGCTAACATAGGTGAACTGAGGTCCGAACGACTTTTTTTATGTAGAAAAAAGTGGCCGCAGGTAAACTGGGACTAATTTTTTTCTATCTAAAGAAAAAAAAATATTTAGACGAACTGAGACATGTACGAATTTGTTATATACAAAAAGCTATAAAAAAATCTTTCTGAAGCAAATTGGTTTCTATAGAAAAAATGTGGCCTCAGGTGAACTAAGGTCTGAAGCAAATTTTGTTTGTAGAAAAAAATTTACCTCAGTTGAACAGAGGTCTGGACGAAAAAAATTTATATCAGGAGATCTGAGGATTGGACGGACTTTTTTCTATAGATAAAAATTGAAGTAAGGTGAACTGAGTTTTGAAGCTAATTAGAAAACCAGTAAGGAAAGTAGTAAAGTCGGACGGGGCCGACTGTATGATACCCTTCACCACTTTGGACGAAAATATAAATATAAAATCTATATCGAAATATTAATAAATTTGATCGAAACCTGTCACAGGTTAGGTTATACAAATTTCAGTATGTTTTGTGCATATCGGCCACATTTTAAATTCTTGGTACATCTTTTACTTAAAATCGGGGGAAAATATATGCTGGGGTTTGGTGCTTTGGTGTACCATTTAACTAAAATCGGACGGAACTATATATGGGAGCAAACCTGGCGAGTTTGGTGTAGAATTTATATCTATCTTCTATACCTATATCCAAATCTGAACCGATTTTCAAGAAACTTGACACAAATCATTGTAGACCTAATTCATTACGCCGTACCAAATTTCGTGCAAATCGAAAGATAAATTCGGACTTTGGTGCACCATTTACGTTAAATCGGACGAAAATATATATGAGAGCTATATCCAAATCTGAACCGATTTTCAAGAAGCTTGACACACATCAGTCTAGACCTAATTCATGACGCTGTTCCCAATTTCGTTCAAATCGAAAGATATACATGGACTTTGATGCACCATTCACATTTAATCGGACGAAAATATATATGGGACCTATATCCAAATCTGAACCGATTTTCAAGAAACTTAACACACATTATTCTAGACCTAATTCATTACGCTGTGCCAAATTTCGCTCAAATCGAAAGATATATAGGGACTTTGGTGCACTATTTACATTAAATCGGACGAAAATATATATGTGAGCTATATCTAAATCTGAACCGATTTTCAGGAAACTTAACACACATTATTCTAGACCTAAATCATTAGGCTGTACAAATTTTGGGCAAAGGGAAAAATATAAAGGGACCGTTTACATTATATCAGACAAATATATATGGAAGCTTTATCTAGGGTTCGTCCTTGGGCCGAATAAGTGACATATGCAAAATTTCATCCAATTCGGATCATAAATGCGACCTGTACTTTGTTTACAATTTAACATGGACAGACTAACGGACGGACGGACATGCATAAATCGACTTAGAAAGTGATTCTATGCATATTCTCACAAGGAACCATGTGCCTATCTCGTTTCCTTTTGCCTGTTACAAACATATGCACAAAGACATAATACCCTGTACCACAGTGTGGTGAAGGGTATAAAAATTGGGCATTGTCCTTTTTCGCATAGTCGTTTTTATTTCTGTCACACAAACATTGTGGAGAATAGCTTATAATACTCATCTTTGGACAAGGCCATGACCGAAATATAAAGGTTATTTTGGGGGAGGAATACAAAACAAAATAAAAAAAAACATTTTCATGCAACAAATGAGGGACTTTTCGCTTTGTAACCATCTAAAAACATGTAAGGACTTATTGAGATTATTTTCCAGCTGTTCAACATGTAGTTGTTGTTATTGAAATTTAAACAGAAAAGGGTTTCCATTCAAATCAGAAGAATATTTTTTTCTTTGGAAAACAATCTTTGAGTGAGATCACACAAAAAATATATATTTCTTATATGGAATATTCGACATTAAAGTAATATATGTATGTATATGCCTTCGTTATCACAACATAATATCCTTGTGACTTCTTTCCATTACCCAAAAAAGTGTATTGTAGTTGTTAAATAGATTTCATAATTACAGGGGCGTCGGACAAAGTAATAAAGAGGGGGGGAAAGGCAAAAAAAATCAATGCCAATATAATATTTAATTTGAAAAAATTAACGCGTTTTATAAATATTTGGAAAGATGCTTTGTAAAAAATCCGCATGCCTTTGATAATTATGTGAAAAAATAAAATCCACTCCTTAATAAAATTGGAAAAAATAATGTTTAAAAAATCCATGGCTTATATAAAATTGAAAAAAAAATATATATTTTTTAAAAAAATCCACGTCTTAATAAAATTGAAAAAAAATATATATAACTCTTCCACGTCTTGACTATTATAAAACAATATTTATATTTCTTATATATTTTTATACCCTACACAACTATGTTGTCAGGGTATTATAGCTTTGTGCAGCCCCAAGAGTTTAGAACGCCGCGAAATATTGGTCTCGACTAGCTGAGTTGATCTAGACATATGTATCCGTCCGTCCGTCTGTCCATTATAATTTGTAAACACGATGCAGGCCACAGTTATGGACCAATCTTCACGAAATTTTGCATGTAGAATGGGTTTGGCCCAATGAAAACCCCTATTGTTTTTTGTAAAGATCGGTTAATATTTAGGGGATGAAATGGACCAAATATAGCTGGTCAAATGGACCCTGACTTTTGTGTGAAAAAATGACAAAAATTGTATTCTATAGCGTATATATTTACTTCTGATGGACATAGACCCGAGAAGTCGATAGTATATCCCAGTATAGTGGTTGACCTTTAAATTGATATAATTGGTATCAATTAAAAAAAATCAATTGTCGTTTGTACTCGAATGTGGGAGTTACACGTAAATATTTACAGATATTATTTAATAAATCATTCCCACACTAGAGGGCGGAAATATAGCGTGGATCGTTTTGAAATGTTCCAGTTATTGTCAAGGACAACGCCTATAATTTTCGGGGATAATCAGATAATAAAATTGGGATAAAGTGGACCGAAAACTTAATGTGTTGTGTTTTTTTCGAGTCGATCTATAGGACGCAATTGAAATCCGAACATCACAACATATGTTCGAATATGGGAATATGGACAAGTAATTAGAAGGGCTGTTCTGAATATTGTTAATATTCAGAAAATATGTCAGTGTAAGGAAGAGGTGCTGTTGACCTCTAATCGGGCAAGAGGGTGCAACTATCACGAAATATTACCCAAGCTCGGAATAACAATCCGCAGAAAGATAGAGTGTTGTGGTAGTTGTGTAGGGTATCGTATGGTCGGCCCCGTCTGACTATACTGCACCGTTCACCGCTTTTTTATGTGTATACCCTTCACCACACTGAGGTACAGGATATTATGTCTTTGTGCATATGTTTGTAACAGGCAAAAGGAAACGAGATATGTCCATAGTTCCTTTTGAGAATATGCATAGAATCACTTTCTGAGTCGATTTATGCAAGTCCGACCTGTCTGTCCATGTTAAATTGTAAACAAAGTACAGGCCGCATTTATAATCCGAATTGAATGGAATTTGGCACAGTTCATTTATTTGGCCCCAGGACGAGCTCTATTGAAATTGGGAAAAATTGATTCAGATTTAGATATAGCTCCCATATATATTTTCGTCCGATTTTATGTAAATGGTGCACAAGGTGCCGATATATCTTTCGATTTGCATGAAATTTGGCATAACGTACTGAATTGAGCATAGAGTGATGTCTGCTAAGTTTTGTGAAAATCGGTTCAGATTTAGATATTGCTCCCATATATATTTTCGTCCGATTTAATGTAAAATGTGGACCAAAGTCCCTATATATCTTTCGATTTGCACGAAATTTGGCACAACATACTGAATTGAGATTAGAGTGATGTCTATCAAGTTTTGTGAAAATCGGTTCAGATTTAGATATAGCTCCCATATATAATTTTATCTGATTTTATGTAAAATAAGGACCAAAGTCCCTATATATCTTTCGATGTGCACGAAATTTGGCACAACATACTGAATTGAGCCTAGAGTGATGTCTGCCAAGTTTTGTGAAAATCGGTCCAGATTTAGATATAGCTCCCATATAAATTTTCGTCCGATTTTATGTAAATGGTGCACAAGGTCCCTATATATCTTTCGATTTGCACCAAATTTGGAATAGAGTAGTGAATTAGGTCCAGAATGATGTGTGCCAAGTTTGGAGAAAATCGGTTCAGATTTAGATATAGCTTCCATATATATTTTCGTCCGATTTAATGTAAATGGTGTACCAAATTCCCTATATATATTTCGATTTGCACGAAATTTGGCATAGCATACTGAATTAAGTCTAGAACGACGTGTGTTAAATTTCGTGAAAATCTGTTCAGATTTAGATATAGCTCCCATATATATTTTTGTCCGATTTTAGGTAAATGGTACACCAAGGTCCCTATATATCTTTCGATTTGCACGAAATTTGACATAACGTACGGAATTGAGCCTAGAGTGATGTCTGCCAAGTTTTGTGAAAATCGGTTCAGATTTAGATATAGCTCTCATATATATTTTCGTCCGATTTAATGTAAAATGTGGACCAAAGTCCCTATATATCTTTCGATTTGCACAAAATTTGGCATAACGTACTAAATTGAGCCTTGAGTGATGTCTGCCAAGTTTCGTGAAAATCGATTCAGATTTAGATATAGCTCCCAAATATAGTTTCGTCAGATTTTATGTAAATGGTACACCAAGGTCCCTATATATCTTTCGATTCGCATAAAATTTGGCATAGAGTATAGAATTAGGTCCAGAATGATGTGTGTCAAGTTTGGAGAAAATCGGTTCAGATTTAGATATAGCTCCCATATATATTTTCGTCCGATTTAATGTAAATAGTGCACTAAAGTCATTATATATCCTTCGATTTGCACGATATTTTACATAGCGTACTGAATTAAGTCTAGAACGACGTGTGTTAAATTTCGTGAAAATCTTTTCAGATTTAGATATAGCTCCCATATATATTTTCATCCGATTTAATGTAAATGGTGTACCAAAGTCGAAATTTGGCATAACGTACTGAATTGAGCCTAGAGTGATGTCTGCCAAGATTCGTGAAAATGGGTTCAGATTTAGATATAACGTCCGATTTAATGTAAAAGGGTGGACGAAAGTCCCTATATATCTTTCGATTTGCATTTGAATTAATTATAGAATGATGTGTGCTGAGTTTCGTGAGATATACATATAACTCCATTCTATATTATCGATTGATTTTAAGTAATTGACGCACCAAGGAACAGACATATGGCTGATAGGAACAAAACGTACTGAAAACCTAACCAGTGACAAGTTTCGTTGTAATCGTCGGATTTTAAGTAAATGGTGCATCAAATTCCTCATGTTTGTCAGATTGACATAAAATTTTACACATCATTTATTAGTGGGGAATGGGAATGGACAGGAATGGCATTGTCCGCCGAGGCGTAAGGCAGGGAAGACTATAGTTTCGGATCTCGCCACTGATCCTTTTTTTAATAATTCCACGCCTTCAGGAAATTGTAAATATATTTGTTAAAAAAACCATTTAAAAATAATTTTAAAAAATCCACATTTTTGATAAACCTGAAAAAATATTTAAAAAAAATATATCGCCTTTCTAAATCTAGAAAACAAAATAACTATTGTTAATAGTAATCCCCCACTTTCATCAAAATATTGCCACGCCTCTGCTCTCAGTTTTCAACACTTAACGAAGAACAAAAAAAAATATAATAATATATTCTCAGTATATACCAAAAAAGGGAAGGAACATGGAAAAAACCCTCAAAAAATAAGTAGATATTGAATACAAGGACGAAAAGGGAAAGGATGCTGCTGCTTCTTCAAAAAGAAAAAAAAAACGATGATGATAATAATGGGTAAACTTAATTACAATTTTTTTGGTGTACTTTATTTTTTTTTATAAGAGTTTGTTTTAAACACAATTAAATGGAACTTTGGTGTAGCGGCAGGGAAGGCATAGGGAGCGAACAAAAATGACAAGGAATACAATTGAAGCAGAAGACAACAAACAATGGAAAAGAGGTGGTGGCGCAAAGCAAAAAAAAAAAAAATTGAGAAAAGATTCCGTTTTTTATGCACGGAATGATAACAAGAAATTCAAGAGGTGCAAAAAATGGGACAACACCCACCATCCGTTCTTTGCTTCGTTATTATCACAATGTTTTCTGTAGCCTTTAAAGTGAGTGGTAGTAGATTTTTTTGTTAGCGAGGAGAAAATATGGAGCGGCTTGTGCCTCATAATAATGACAATATAATCAGCTCTTCAATATTGTTGTTGGTGTGTGTGTGTATGGGGGCGTGTTCACACTTGTGTTGATGTTGATATCCCACAACCTCCATCTGCATTAATTATTATCCTTTGACGCGCATAGAAATTTCTGACTTGGGTCAAGTGGTCCATCCTACTCTATTTTCATAAGTGGGAGGGAAGTGTTGTTCCTTCCTATTGTTTATTTGATATTTTTGATATCAACATTAAACAAAACTCCATTGAATGCTTAAGATTGTTTTAAAGTATGGAACGATGTGACTTGAGTAGTACATCTCACAAAAAATAAAAAAGTCATTCTGAAAATTTAAAAAGAAAAACCTTTTTGAGAATGTTACAGGTGGCAAAAAATCAGGACGCAAAATTTAGAATTAAAATAAAACAAAGAACAACAAATTTTTATACCCTACACAGCTGTGTTGTCAGGGTATTATAGCTTTGTGCAGCCCCAAAAGTATCTCGACTCGAAAATTGGTCCTAGACCCACCTTTAAGTATACCGATCGTCAGTCATATCTCGACTAGCTGAGTCGATCTAGACATGTGTGTCCGTCCGTCCATTATAATTTGTAAACACGATACAGGCCACAGTTATGGACCAATCTTCACGAAATTTTGCACGTAGGATGGGTTTTGGGTGCAAATATCGGGAAATATTTTCCATGCTCAGAAAATCTAACACAGAAAGTTAGATTTTCGTTGAAGTTGTGTAGGGTATCATATGGTCGGCCCCGTCCGACTATACTGCTCCGCTCACTGGTTTTTAAATACACTTATATTTGATAATAATTTTAAATTACTTTATTTTTTCCATTTCGACAATTTCCAGCTAGCTGCCGTTATGCCAAGAGCGATTGGAGTGAATGTGATGCCAAGACCAATACCCGCTCTCGTACACTGCAGTTGAAGAAGGGTGATGCCAGCTGCCAACCAACTCGGACAATGGAAAAGAAATGCAAAAAAAGTAAGAAACCCGAATAAACGAACAAAAGAAAAAAATCAAACTAACTTTTCACACCACCAAAGAAAAAGCGTCAACTTTAAACTGTAACTGTTAACAATGTTAACCAAGAAAACGATGAAAAAAAGAACTTTCAAGTTTCAAACTAACCATTAACAATGAAACTCATAACTCTAAGGGGATAAGAACAAATAAGAACTACATGAAATTACATACATTCAGCTTGGGTGAAAGTAAGCAGGGCCGAAAATTGTATACCCTATATTATTGTGAAAAATTAAAAAAAATGAAAACAAAAAACCAATAAGGAATGCAGTAAAGTCGGACGGGGCCGATTATATATAATTTAAAGAAAAATATCGAAATCTAAACCGATTTCATCAAAACTTGTCGCATGTTAGGTTACACTTATTTCAGTATGTTTTGTGCATTCGCCCACATTTTGCGAATCTTCATTTACTTATAAATCCTTTTTTGCACCATTTACATAAAATCGGACGAAAATATATATGGGAGCTATATCAAAATCTGAACCGATTTAACACACATATTTTTAGACTTAATTCAATACGCTGTGCCAAATTTCATGCAAATCGATGGATATATAGGGACTTTAGTGCACCATTTACATAAAATCGGACTAAAATATATATGGGAGCTATATCTAAATCTGAACCGATTTTCACGAAATTTAACACACATCTTTCTACACATAATTCAGTATGCTGTACCAAATTTCATGCCAATCGAAGGATATATAGGGACTTTGGCGCACCATTTACATAAAATCGGAAGAAAATATATATGGGAGGTATATATAAATCTGAACCGATTTTCACGAAATTTAACACACATCGTTCTATACTTAACTCAGTTCGCTATGCCAAATTTCGTGCAAATGGAAAGATATATAGGTCCTTTGGTGCACCATTTATATAAAATCCGACGAAAATATACATGGGAGCTATATCTAAATCTGAACCGATTTTCAGGAAATTTAACACACGTCGTTCTATACTAAATTCAGTACGCTGTGCCAAATTTCGTGCAAATGGGAGGATATATACGGACTTTGGTGCACAATTTATATAAAATCGGAAGAAAATATATATGGGAGCTATATCTAAATCTGAACCGATTTTCGCGAAATTTAAGACACATAATTCTAGACTTAATTCAGTACGCTACGCCAAATTTCGTGAAAATCGAAGGATAAATACGGACTTTGGTGCACCATTTATATAAAATCGGACGAAAATATTTATGGGAGCTATATCTAAATCTGAACCGATTTTCACGAAACTTTGCATACATCATTCTATACTTAATTCAGTAAGCTATGCCAAATTTCGTGAAAATCGAAGGATATATACGGACTTTGGTGCACCATTTATATAAAATCGGACGAAAATATATATGGGAGATATATCTAAATCTGAACTGATTTTCACGAAATTTAAGACACGTCATTCTAGACTCAATCCAGTACGCTATGCCAAATTTCGTGCAAATGGAAGGATATATAGGGACTTTGGTGCACCATTTTCATAAAATCGGACGAAAATATATATGGAAGCTATATCTAAATCTGAGCCGATTTACACGAAATTTGACAAACAACTTTCTAGACTTAATTCAGTACGCTATGCCAAATTTCGTGAAAATCGATGGATATATACATATAATTGGTATCAATTTGAAGATCAACCACTCCTCTTGGATATACTATCAACTTCCCGGAAATATGTCATCCAGGAGCAAGTATATACGCCCCAGAAAAAAAAAAATTGTAATTTTTCACACAAAAGTCAGGGTCTATTTGACCCGCTAAATATTGACCAATCTATATCAAAACAGGCATGCTTATTATTTGGCCCGATCCCCTTGTCCATGTAAAATCTCACGATGTTCGAACCATAACTACGGCCTCTGGAGCGACCAGATAAACCGACAAAAATTAAGTATTTGGTCCATTTCATCCCCTCCGATCCCCACCGATCTTTACCGAAAACAATAGGGGTCTGCATTGGCCAGAACCCATCCTATATGCAAAATTTCGTAAAGATTGGTCCATAACTGTGGCCTGTATCGTGTTTGCAAATTATAATGGACTGACGGACGGACACACATGTCTAGATCGACTCTGCTTGTCGAGATATTGATTTTTTCCTTTCTTACTTACGTTTTCAATGGAAACTCTTTTTGTGGATCATCCTACCGATACCTAACGTAGAGTATCCGAGTTAAACTCACAGCTACTAACTCATTCATGGCAAATCATGAACCATTTGTCCAGAGTTATTCATCATTGTCAACACAACTTTTCCTAAAATACATACAGAACAGACAACAATGGTGTGGGGATTTTTTTCGGGTGATAATAATGGGATGCTCGGGAGTATGGGTGATGGTGTGGGTGTGGATTAACCCACCAATCATAATATGTCTCTCCCCACCCACCTACTCTTTCTTCTGTAACGTTCATTTGGCCAGCATTTTTTGTTTTCTGCTTTTTTTTTCTTTCTTCCATTTCATTGTTTCCAAGAAAAACATATCAACACAAAAAAAGGGAAAAATAGAGGATTTAATTATTTCCTCTGGGTGTTGGGGACAACCGGAAAACTGTAGTAAAAAGGAGTAGAAAACCCAACAAAAAACAGGAATGCAGAAAAAAATGACATTTGTACATGCATTAGTTGTAAGTTTCGTCATATTCATCTCTTACTCTAAAATTGTGGTTTTTGGTCGTTTCATATTTCACATGACGTGGACGTGAATGCTGTAGTTGCAGTCAGTCAGTCCATCCCTCATTCTTCACTCTGTCCTTCATAATCTTCCTGTCACATAATTTTTGTCAGTTATTTCTTTCTTTACTCACGTGTCCATCCAGGTGACAGTTATGTTGTCATCATTAATAAGATGGGAAAATTTATGATATCCTAGGGGGTGAGGGTCAAACTGGAACGAATATTAATGATGCAGATGATGTGTCGGTGTAATATCATCGATATTAATGAGGACAATTAGATAATAAGGATGAATAAACATAAACAGAGAGCAATGGCAATGGAAATAGAAAATAACAACCGGTTTTTGAAAGAGATGCTGTTAAGCCATCGTAAAGACCTCACTGCATCGATATTTATTTTTTTTTTTTTTTAACCCACCATAAAGTCATCTAGGCTTTGATTATTAAATAATTTAAATTGGATTTTTAAAATTATTTGTTGAGGCCATCAAAAAGACCTTTAAGGGGCCCCACCTATTCATGGGGTTAAAAAAGTTCCTTTAATTTTTTTGATTTAATTCGAATCCACACCAATTCAAAAAAGTCGATAAAAAATCTCAAGAACTCTTCGAGATATAGTCGATTTATTGTGTCAGCATCAAGTGACGGCAAGAGTGAATCTCAAACTTTAAAACTTAATTTTTTCAAATCAGTGTTTTTACGAATGGCGGGCACGATAACTCTAAAACTAATAATCCGATCGGTTCCAAATTTTGACACTTTTCTCTGGGAGTGTGTAACTATCGTACGAACTAGGATAAAACTAATCGTTGAAGAAGGGAAGATACAGGCCACAGTTATGGACCAATTTTTACGAAATGTTGCATGTAGGTTGGGTTCTGACCAATGACGACCCCTATTGTTTTTGGTAAAGATCGGTTAATATTTAGGGGATGAAATTTACCAAAAACTTTATTTTTGTCTGATTTTCTGGTCGCTCCAGAGGGCACAATTATGGCCCAAACATCGCGAATTTTTACATGGAAAAGGTAATCGGGCCAAAGAATAAGCTTGCCTGTTTAGGTAAATATCGGTCATTATTTAGCGGCTTTTGTGTGAAAACTTTATTTTTGTCTGATTTTCTGGTCGCTCCAGAGGGCACAATTATGGCCCAAACATCGCGAATTTTTACATGGAAAAGGGCCAAAGAATAAGCTTGCCTGTTTAGGTAAAGATCGGTCATTATGTAGCGGGTTTTGTGTGACAAATTAAAAAAAAAATTTATTCTATGGCGTATATATTTACTTGTGAAGGACATAGACCCTAGAAGTTGACAGTATATCCACGAGGAGTGGTTGTCCTCTAAATTGATACCAATTATATTGTCGTATGCACTTGGATGTGTGTTTACAGGTGCTTACGTATTCCGATATTATTTAGTAAACTATTACCACATTAGAGGGCAAAAATATAGCGCTGATCGCTTTGAATATTTTCCATAAGGATCCAGGTATGGTCTAGGACAACGCCTACAATAAAAAAAATCGGATGTAATGGACCGAAAATTTGATTTGTTGTGTTTTTTCGAGTCGATCTATAGGCCACAAGTCGAACACCACAACACAACCCACGGTGGGGGTATCTGAACAACTAATTAGAAGTGCTGTATTAAATAATGGGAATATTGGAAACATATGTCACTCTCTAATCGGTCAAGAGGGTGCAAATATCACGAAATATTGCCCAGGCTCGAAATAAATATCCGTAGAAAGTTAGAGTTCCGTGGTAGTTGTGTAGGGTACAGAGATGGACTGTCAGAAACAGTGACGTAAATGACATAGATTTGCGACGTATAATACATACGTCAGAAACGTCGGAAACCTACCTAAATCCATTAGGTTTTTGACAAAATAGCTATTTCCATTAATCAATTTGGGAATTACGTATGCTTTACTCAAATCGATATAAAATTTCAAAATTTTCTTCTCAAAAAATTTAGAAATTTTTATCAGTTCTAGTAAGGATAGTCAGATATATGTAAAAATAATATATATTCTTGAAAATAACTGTATATGCTGATAATATTGATATAAATGACGTTTACTACGTTTATTACATTTTATACAGGTATATGACGTTTTCGACGTTTACACCATGGTTCCTTTTGATAATATGCATACAATCACTTTCTGAGTCGATTTACGCATGTCCGTCTGTCCGTCCGTCCATGTATTTTTGTTAACAAAGTACAGGCCGCATTTATGATCCGATTTGG